TAACATGGTGGTGGCATAAAAATTGATTTTCATTGGTCATTTGCAAAAAAGTTGTTTTGCTTTCAAGAATTCCTTAACAAATTAATAAGGTTTTAAAATGGCTTTTATGAAGAAAACTTGCAGGCTGAATTGTATTTATCTAAAGCCATTTTGCTTGATCCTAATCCGTTCAGATTTATGGCAACATTTATGGAGGCAAAGTTACCTGCAAAAAGTTAAACGTCAAAGTTTGTTTATCTTTCGATAGTTGCGCTGTTAGATCCATGATTCTTCCAGGCGGTTTTTTTCCCGATGGATTAGGAGCAGTTACTCAGAAGGTTTGCGATACTGTTTTACAACATTTCGCATTTCGAACAGCTGAAAGCGCAATCGTTCCCGAAAAAGATCCCCTTCTTCCGGATAATAACAGAAGTGCATCATCCAACGGTGCAGGGATGTACGCTTGAATAAAATTTTCGAAGAGTTGATTCTTTCGCCGAATAAAACGCTGCTATGGATCGGAAACTAGCTGATCTCCGCTAACAAACAGTTCCGTGGTTTGCTGTCGGTTGTTATTTCAATTAATCATGTTTTATTGTTTTTGACATCATCCACATCCAGAGGGCCAGTCACTTCGAATGTATGGGAATGGTAGGAAACCATTTGAAAATGCATGAGAATTTTCAGTTTTTATTCATTATCGTCTTTATGGGCAGTTTTAGGTGCACAAAAATTGCACGAGTACATTACTATGGTGATAAGGTAAACACTCGTTTATTTGTTTCCTTCTGTGAAAGCATGTTTAGTCACAAATCGTGGATTTTCTGATATTCTCCATACTGCAAAAATGATTTTCCTACCACTGAAGGGGCGACATCTCTCGGATCTTCAGTATAGCTACTACTCAAATCATATAATTAATTGTCATCTATTCGCAAGATCTGGAGAAGGCTGGTATGTTTTAAAACTTTCGACAATGTTTTATGAATTCGAGGGCCACGCTCACTTTACTCTTCCTCGCCAGATGGTCAGTCGTTGATGGTCTGCTGGTTCTTCTAAAGAAGTATATTTTGCCGAAATCGACTTGAATTTTTCATCTTACTTCGTCTATCCTGCGAGATTTCCTTGTCATAAATTTGGCATTTATTAACTATGAGGAACCATATTTTAAGCGTTAATGATGCACTTTCAAAAGCCTAAAAAGCAAAAATAAATGCTTTTTGCTCTAATGCAAAACCTAATGGTTTTATGGTTGCTATGGTTATGATAGAAAACGTTTATAAAGTATTTTATCAAGACATTAATAAACAATTGTTAATGACGTTGTTTGTGCAATGTCATCTACATGTACAACTACCCTACCCACTGTAGCTACTATACAAAGAAATATAGAAAACAATACAGTATCTCGAATACCTCCGCCATGGCAGGACGGTCAAGCAAACTGTGTGTTTTATTTATTTCTATCTCCGTACCTATCACAACGATCATAAACACAACGTAGGGATCCCGCCCGTGTGCGATCAGACGTTTATGCTTGAATTACAGAACAGTTTTAAGGAGGGATTGATAACTGTTTTAAATTTATTTTTAAAACAAGATAAATTTTGACTTTCTTGCCAGACTATGAAAGGTTTTTAAAACATCAAAAAGCTGAATTACTAAGCAGGAATGTTTTACACTTTGAAATGCTTTATTTAAACTAATTGGATTGTTCATTGTCGTTATTAAACCATCATAAATCAGAGTGGATGCTAAATGGTTACTGGATTGTTACTTGGGTATGAATGTTGTTTTATAGTTGCTTAGTAGTATTTTATAAAACTTAAAATGTTACTTGGGATCTCTACGCGGGGGGTATTCAATACCGCACAGTTGTGATGTCACTGATAATGATTGCTAAGGTTGCTGTCGTTTTGGCCGTTTAAATGGTTAAACCACAGACAAACAGACATAACACTCATAAGCTGTTCATCGAACAAACATTTAACAGTCAATTTAAAAGTACCTCAGTTGGTGGTACTGCCACATGTGTCGCGCATAGTAAATTCGCTTGCGTTTGACGTTTACACACTACCGCAATCTGTTCAGCGTACTACCAACCATAGTGTACTCAACAGATGGCGGTAATGTTTTAGTGACGATGTTTTGCAATAAGAAATATTCAATGTGTAATGTCTGTTTGTCTGTGGTTAAACTATCAAAATTGAGAGCACAAAATCTTCCTTTGACATCAAATTGAAATCTTATTCTGCTATCAGTGAAAGAACACTGGAAACTCAATATGATGTACATGTTTCCTGTTGACAACTAATCAAGTTATCAATTTGATTTTCTGCTAAGGCAACGAACATAACTGCAACTACATGTTTTTGAAGAGCAAATGTACAGCTAAATGAAACCAAAATTTGTTATAAATGTTGTCAATCGCGTAAACTGAAATCAAATTATGATTTCAGTTTGATTTTGATATCAAAATTTTATGTAAATTTGCATCAATATCTCCTAACTTTTAAAAATAATATTAAAAAATAAACATTCTTACATTCGATGGTTAATCAGATAAGCTACACACTACGGAAAATTCATGTCAATTTTTGTTCCCAGAGACCTACACATGTAAGCAGCAATTTTGACATGATAATCAGTAGAAATAAATGAGAAAATCAAGCTGAACATTGCATTAGGTCCTAAGTAACGATGACAGATTCGCTTCGTCTACTTTTTTTTTGCATTCCCACGGCCTGGTAAATATATTTTCAGGATTTTTAGGCACACCATATCTTGCATTTAATACGACAAACACAACAGGGAACAGTTATGTGCTCATGCTATTAACGAAAGAGAAAGTCAACCCGGGGGCAACTTGACAAGTCCAGTACATTTCCAGTGTACTCCGAAAATTTGGTGCTGGTGGTTCTGTCAAACTCACAAATTTCAGAAGTGTTATCTGAATAGGGCGAATGCAGATATGTAAATAAAGTAAATAAAATACTGAACATAAAAACAGATAGCCTCATCTGTTTCTTGAAACTTCAAGTTGGTGGGGAACAATGTTAATTAAACGGACGGGTGTAACAAAAGACAATCACTGAAATTTATTCGTTTTAGAAGCTCATTATGAATATCTTTTGTTGAGAGACGCTTATTTTAATTTATTTTATTTATTTCTTCATGATTGAATGAATATACGAAATGTTAGTGTTCACACAGCAAACCTGCTACTCACCGCGAATAAGAATCAATTTTGTATTTTTTATTCACCCCTGAATAGAAAGATGGGGAAGTAAACTGTTTTTAATAATACGGCTTTTTATTGCAAGTCTTCACCGCACAAGTATGCTCAGAAACATTATTCTCAAGACTGATAATATTCAAGAGCAAAATATAATAGAATTAACCAATGTGTTTTAATTTCTATTTGATTATATAAGAAAAACTTCCATCAATCTGTTCCAATTTGTTTGGATTTATTTCATTTCACCACGAAAATCATAAATCGCTCTTTTCACATGGCATTCTTGCTTGTTGCTTGACATCCACACATGGTGAAACAAAAAGTTGCCTTCCCATAGAGAAATACCATTGCGGCGGTGAAGGGCAGTCCCTTTGTTTACGTTGTGTGGCGACATCTACTATTTGCAAGTGAGTACGTGAAACTAAGATTATCTGTCACCTTGCCGGGGAGTTGGAGAAAGTCGACGAAGAGAATCGATCAATGTTACTTAGGACCAGGCTTGCAATTGCTCATTACAGCTAAAATGCTAGTTTTCGTAATTATGAAACTATGGGATACTATAATGATAATTATTATTTGAAAGAAGCGAGAAGAGGTGGTAAAGTTTGTGTATGACATATACAATTTGTCAATTTTGCTTTCAGAAGGTCACAACTAACGATTTTATGATCGCTGATTGCTCGTTCATCGCGTTGCTCATCGTTACAGCTAATCGCTATTGTGACCCTCTGAAAGCTAAATTGGCAGGATTTATGTGTCATACACACACTTAACCTTCTTTTCTTGCATCTTGTAAATAAGAATTATAATTAAAATATCTCATAGCTTCATAAATCCAAAAAATAGCATTTTAGCTGTAATGAGCATTTGCAAGCTTGTTTAGGACATAATGCAATGTTCAGCTTGAAATCAATTTAATCAAACGTTCTCTTCGTCGACTATGTTTTGGTTCGTTTACATAAATTCGACAGTGAGCATGCATAAGGGCCTATACGCGATGATCGATTCTCTTCGTCGATTTTCTCTTTTGTTAATAACTCGCTAGATTTAACGTTTCTCGGTGCGTTTGCTGTTGCTTTTGATAGCCAATACAACCTGTTACTACTCTGCATTGAACAAATTCTAGAAAATTGTTTCGCTTAGCTGTAGCAATGCAAAGAGAAAATCGATGAAGAGAATCGATCATCGCGTATTCGCCCTTATGAATGCTCACTGTCGAATTGTTTGTTTACGTTCCATGAATTATGTCCAATATAGATTATGTCTCGTGTAAAATTAGTTATTTCTAAGCGTGTACTCAAACTACCTCCCACTTACCATTGATAGATGTTCATCTTGAATAGCACATACATAACTCTCATTCCTCCTTGGAAATTCATCCGACAACCATGATGTGTAGTGCATACGATATTAACGCTAGATTTTGCGTGAAATTACACGATATTTCATGTAAATTTAAGCGCAATATCGCATAAATCCTCAATCTTTAATACAAACTAGCGAGCAGTTTCATTGTTTATACCAACTATAGCTCAAGATTAAACGAGAGGAGATTTAACGCGATGGCTAAAATTCAGATTTTTTTTTCTGTACAGCATAAGGATCGTGCTCTCGTTAAGAAAACAAATACTGAAGATAATTCTGCCGATACCACTTGCTCTTGCCACGCCCTTCCCGGGAGCGCAAGCGGTGCCTGTCGAAACCCCGGTAGGCCCTCACATCCGGTTCCCTCACCCAAACCTTCCTCCAATGTACATATGAAGGTAGGAACACAAACACTTACCTCTTGTAGCAGTCGCAGCAGCACTCCACCCTCGCCCGGAAGGAATCCGGCGTAGTGTTTCATTGCATATTCCAGACACGATTGCAGAACGCTGCTCCCGTTGGTTTTCTGATAGCCGAACGTAAGCCCACGGAACTGTGCGCGCCATGGTGGTGGTGGTGGTGTTGTTGTTTGCATTGTGATGAAATCGAAACCGTGTGGGCCATTTGGGAGGATGGTTGAGGCAGTTGTTTTTATTTTTGTATCCACCGAGGCATCCAAAGAGCAGTTATGAACCGTTACGTTGTGGTATTTGAGGAGTGTGGTTTTCAAGAGAATTTTGTTTTCCGATTGCATTCGGTAGATATGTACGGTTTTTTTTTCGTATCCAGTTGCCAGTCAGAAGCAGATGGTATCATTCCGGGAATTCGTGGAAAAACGCGACGCAGAATATGTGACAGCAGAAGGTTGGATGAAAGAGAGATTAAAAAAATTAGTGAGAATGTGCACACTGAATTCAGATCATCGAAGTTGGTAAAAAAATTTCCTGGTTTTTGAACAGCTGAAAAAGACCGTTACACGTAAGAAATTAATAACATCGACCAATTTAAATGAGCTTAACTGAACAAAGTCTGAACAGATTTAGAATACTTGTTTTTATTTTTGAATTTTTCATCGATTTTTAAACTTTAACCGCTCAGTTCCGTAGTTAAAACATAAGCGAAGAGCAGGGGCCTGAATTTCTGGGGTGTAGGAATAAAAAAAAAGGTTGACTTGAGGACATTTTTTTTTCGTGTAAATTTATTGCTTAGTTTATAAGTTTACTTCAGTCTACACACTTAGACATTATCGCCGACTTCGCTAATTTTTACCGAAATCTGAACGAAATCAATTGCTTTTCAGTTACTTTGAAACTTAATCTACACTGGCATTCGTGTCGAAAAAATGACAAGATTTGATCGTTTAAACAAGGTTGAACATGTTTTGAAATATTTTTTTTTAATTCAATTGACGAAGGACAAAGTTTTACCGAACGTTCAGCTGTTCTGATTTCGGTAAAATTTACCGAACACGAAAACAAAATCTTAGTGTGTAAATTTGAATGACATCATAAATATTCCCAAAGTTTAACCCTTGCAGCCTTGCTGAATGTTTACAGAGCTGGTTCTCAGCAATGTGACGATCAATCGTTATGATTCAGCCACCATTCAAAGGAAATGGATATCTACTTTCATTTGAAAAAGGTAGCTGGCCAACCGAAACGGATAACCCCGAAAAATTTTCTAGCAAAATGCGTGTCGAGATGATTGTTTCTCGGCAATTTGGTAACCAAATTTAAAGATTGAGCCACTATTTGAAAGTTTTGACTATCTACTTTCGAACGGAACAGACAGAAAACTAACTGTTGAGTGAAGATAATCATTATTTGGGTCAAGGATCAAGAGGAAAGTAAATAAGAAATGAAAATGCCAACTTTTCGAAAGAAAAGGTCTGGAGAGTGGTTCAATTTGCTTTAAAAAACTTGAAGAAAAACACCTTCTTATCATGTTTTATATTTTTATTGCAAAAACTCTATACCCCATCCTTTAAACTTATGTTGTTTAATCTATCTTAAATGTAAAAAAGTCTGTGAAACGCGATGGTGCTATCAAATCAAATATTTATTTATATCCACAAGTAAAGCCGTTGGTTCCGGCTCATGTGTGTTAATGGATGCGATATCATACGCATGTGTGGCAGTTGCCTCCCCGCACATTCGATTGTCGTCAATGTATGTCACCGATGTCCGTCGGTGATTGGCACTAGATTGCGGAACAGAGAACGACGTCAAATAAACAAAAGAAGGCTTATATCCACAACAAATAGATGGAAAACAAGGCGCTGGCCACTCCGCACAATGTGCTAAAATAGAGTTGGGCACACCTGGACACACTCATTGGCACTGTTTGACACCCTTGGCTAGATGTTTTGAACTATCATTATAGTTAAAGTCTGTTCCATTTAGAATTTGGCTGCAAAAATAGGTCATTTCTCCAAGGGGAAATAAAGTACAAAAACGCTAAAGGTATCATTTTGTAGGATTTTTATTAAGCTTTAAGGGAAAGATACAACAAAAATTATTCGTCAGCTTTTGGGATGAATTTTCGAACTCTTCGCAAAATGCCTCTCATCATGTCTTGCACAGTAGTACTGTCAACCTCATCTACCATCCTCTTCCACCACTTCTCTAAATCAGATGTTGTTTTGATTGTTTTGTCACATTTCTTCAATTTGCGCTTGATAATTGCCCAAAATTTTTAAATGGGACGAAAATCTGGACAATTTGGCGGATTGATACTTTTCTCAATAAAATCGACATTATGCTGCTTATACCATTCTATGACATCGCGGCTGTAAGTCAGGCCAGAACTTTACGAGACCTTCTTGTGATTGAATGAACGGCAAAATTATGTTCTGGAGACACTCCTCCTTGTAAAGTTGTCCATCCATAGTCGCTTCAGTGATGAAAACCTTTGTTTTCTTTCCGCAACTGCAGACGCCTTGCCAAATCATCAACTTGTCAGCGAATTTATCTGCAAAGACTAATTTAAATTTATCCGGAGCATAGGGTAGAGCACTACTTCGGCCTAATCGTCCATTTTGGGCCTATCGAACAGAAAACTTCAAATAAGTCCATGATTTCAGAGTTAACAAGTCAATTATGCGTTTGGTACGATACTTTAGTTAATAAGCTACCGAACGAAGTCAATGAGAGCACGTGATATAAAGGTTTGCACCCATTATTCCCAAAAACAAAACAAGCACTCCGACCGAATTCATTTTTATCTTCATCCGATAGGCCGAAGTGAATTCATTGGCGTTTCAATGACGTTTCAATGCGTTAGGCCGAGTTTAGAATCCGTAGGCCGAGTTTGGCGTCAAGAAGCTGTGTTAGACTTTTGACAATATCTCAACGATTGGTTTCTCTTCATCAAATCTTACGGTATGTACGGAAAGGTAAATAAATTTGGAAGCCATCAGTAATAATAATATTCCGTTTGGTGCTTAACTGTGCTATATTAAGAAAGACTGAGTGCGGGTTGTGCTTAATAGGCCGGAAATGGGGTAGTTAACCCTACTATTATGTTTAGCAAAGTAAAATTTTTGGCCCGGGATTTGTCCAAAGTCCATACGTACATACGTACATTTCATCATCCATAAAATGTGATAACTTTTGAACAAGTATATGAATCCTAATGAAATTTTCACAACTAAATAAACAATCCTTCCGGATTAAAACGCTGTCAATAGTTTCTTGCTACGACAACTAGATGCGCTACGGTAATTAAAAAAAAAGCGGCCAAATACTAACTGGAACCGACTTTACTGCACAGTGCGTTTTTGTTGACACAATCCAGTTTTTCGAAAGCGTAAATTTCCGTAATTTCTCAAAACATAGTCAGCGTAGATGGTAATGCCTGTCCGAAGCAGTTATATCAATCCCAGAGAGACTCAGCGTTCACATTGGCAACAATTTGAAAACAAATGCTCTTCCAAGAAACCTTATCCCTCTAATATTCGACAAAGATCTCATCCCCAGATTCATATCCTCCAGATCCATCATAAAAATCATTACCCAGGTCTACACACCCGTCCACATTTCCTCTCGTCTGGGCGCTATCAATTATTAACCTGTAGAGAGCAACTGACTGCGCACTAATGTCCGGGTGGTCAAACCAAAATATTCGAGTTATCGTACCGTACAAATACAATCTGACGGTGGAGATGTTTGCCATGATACCGAGCATCAATTTTTCAATTCACGCCATTCTATCATTCATCAATACAGACAGCTGCATCAACTATGGAAAACTTAATCCTGCTATTTGTGCTCCGTGTCTGGGTTCGCAAACGGTGCCCTCCAGAAAATATTCCCTCGTGTTACAATAAGCAAAACAAGATACCTGGTTGCAAAACATTCCATTATTCAAAAACAAACAATGTTTTACCTGATGACTGACACTCTCACCACTGCCTGCACAGCTGTGGCACTCTTGAGGCACACTGAGAAAAAAGTTGGCACAAAATAAATGTAGAGTGACCACCCCTTGATGATGGAAAATTATTCTTAAAATTTGGCAGCACTGTAAATGATTTATTCTCAATTTAATGTTTTCTTGGTTTAAAAAACAGCAAAAGTGCGGGCGAAAAAAAAAATTGAAATGCATATAGTAATTTATAGTATATAAATTATTTTTTGTTGATAAATGTTTCTTATGTAAAGGAGGATGAAGAACACGATGGTGCTCTCAAATTGGAAATCTAAATATATTCAGATTGAGACATTTGCATTTTTAGTATTTAAACGCATGCATAAAATATTTGAGACGAGGCTCCCAGGCCCGTCCCCTTCCTTACAATTTTTCACTTTGCCTTATTCTATACGCACTAGATTTTAATGAAAACAAATTCTTCTTTAACACCGATCGCATCACTTACCACAGTGTAAGTCCTGGATTGAAATTGGATTGAGTGCGCGCGCGTGTGTGTGTGTGTGTGTGTGTTTGTGTATTATAATCGCTCTACCAAAAACGATCCCTGCATGTGCGTGCAACCTTTCCCCACATCCAACATCCCAGTGATTTCTCGTGGAAGCGCAGAGGATTTCTCGGTTTCCATCACAGTGAGTACCACGTCAACACATTCCTTCCCATTCCCTAGTTGACCTGCATTCGGACACGGCCGGTGCTGGTATTGCTAAATATTAGATCTCCAGTTCTTACACATTGAGGATGAATGTTAGTCCCAAACATCATCTGTTGGTTCTCTGTGTAATTGCAGCTGATCTGGTAATAACAGAGCAGCAACCGTGGGCGGTAAATCATGCTCATGCTCATGCTAAACGCATGCCTAAAATATTTGGCAACACTGTACAATAATAATAAATCAAAATTAAGATTATCCAATTTATTCTAAAAAAAAGCATTACAATGTTAATTTCAGCTTTCTCTGTTCTGAAGATATTAATAAAATACAGTAGTGCTTTATTGAAAATCATGAAAAATAGAAAATGCTCCCCTGGACCGAGAGGCGCTTAAATCGTCATAAGCATTTTTATTCATAAAAGTTAGACCAACATCTCCACCAAATTTGGTTCAAATCGGAATAGGTCAATTACACTTTCATTTTTTCTCGGTCACTTGGCGCGGAATGACCCGTTTACAGATTCTTAAGATAAAGAATAATCCGTAAAGGTGGCAACCCTGCTGACTGAAGATATTATGGAAAACCTTTTTTAACACTCCGAATACGATGCCTCCGAAAAACGTATAACGGGAAGTTTGCAACAGCATAACTTAGCCATTTCTTGATGAATTTAAAAAAAATGTGGTGCTTCTAGAATTCCTAGGGTCTGTAGATTATATTGATTGAAAAAAGATTAAGAATAGAATTTTCTACTTTATTCAAAAGCGAAAAGAGTCGTGGGTTTTCAACCAAGCGCTCTGATTTTCTGCGAATGACTAGTTCTCCATTGGCACTACTCACATGTAAAACATCAGACCGACTGGTTGAAACCCCGCCGAGATTTTTTTTTTTTTTCCTCTGTTCGGGACCTAACACTACTGCGACCAGTAAATTGATCTATTGTAGTATATCCCGTGTCCTTAGTTTAGTGCATGTCGTATTACTCCATCACTATTGAGAAATGATGAAGTATTCGATTTTTTTACAGTTGTCACTCTTGCATTTACCGCAAGGATCCGACTTTAATTGAAAGGTCCCGCTATTTATACCCTTCGGAGTGTTGGAACACCCTCCAAAGGCGCGCCCCTTTGTCAATCAAAATTGGATTCCTTAGCAACAAAATTAAGGTATGACACCGATAATGACCATGCATCAGAACCCTAGTCTTAACCACTTCAAACTAGGGAACAACGAATAGAAGATTAGGAATCACATAGATGAAGACAACTAACTCATTTTTTTTCCTTCTTTCAAGATCATCCTCGGTAGACAAAGTCGAGTCTTGTCACTATCAACAAGGCATAAAAAGTAACAAGGACTAAGATGTGTTCCTTGGATTACTGAAAAATCCTGTTCCCCTAGTCAGGAACTAGGGAACAACGAATAGAAGATAAGCAATCACATAGATGAAGACAACTAACTCATTTTTTTCCTTGTTTAAAGATCATCCTCGGTAGACAAAGCCGAGTCTTGTCACTATCAACAAGGCATAAAAAGTAACAAGGACTAAAATGTGTTCCTTGGATTACTGGAAAATCCTGTTCCCCTAGTTTGAAGTAGTCAGGACTAGGAATCGGTGGTAGATCTTACATCCCGTAACGTACCACGAAAAGGTGATCTACCCACATTACGGGGCAACAGCAGTGGGATTAAGCAGTGGGTGTAACTCAGTGGGTAACGCGTTCTTCGGGGGATAGCTGTAGTGCAAACTTATATGACTGTCCTATGGTTTCTAGATGTCTGTTTCCACCCATGGCATATCAATAGTTCTTCACTATAAAATATATCGGACAATATTCATATACATCTTACTCATCACTATTTACGTTAAAATTTAAGGAATGCCATGTACTAAGAATGTGAAATTACGATAGAAATCATTCCATATCGTAGTCGCACTTTTTAACTAACACTTCAATTCTATCAATCATCACATTGAATGAATAAACCTTCTGACAATGCTATGTTATAAGATGGATCCAATAAACTGTACATGCCGATTTGTTTCAGTGTAGTTTGTCATATAAGTGTATTCGCGGCATATGTGATTTCTAATCTTCTATTCTTTGTTCCCTGGTTGGAAGTGCTCTCACTCTCCAAATGATATAAATAGCATGACCTTTCAATTAGAATCCAATCCTTACGATGGAGGCAAGCATGACGACTGTAACAAAACCGAATACTTCATCATTTCTCAATAGTGATGGAGTAATACGTATATACTACAATAGTTTAAATTTCTGGTCGCAGTGGTGTTATGTCCCGAAAAGAGGAAAAACATTGTATACCCTATCACATTTGCATTCCGTACATTGTGTGGCAAGCACAATTTTTATATATGTCTAGAAAAGTCGAAAAAATTTCCCTACTCGAAAAAATCCTTGAGACGTAAAATATAATAAAAGAACTCATTCAGCATTGTGCCGGCCTATGGCAGTGCCACTGAATACCAATGATTACAATTATGCTCTGTCAATTCTTGTTCCAGACATTTTCACTCAATTTGCTTTAAAGCGTCACCACCGGATTGAAATGGGATCAGATAATACTGTCGGCAGAGCGAAATTTCGATTAGCTCACCAGATTTTTGCCTACGCTCATCCTTCCAAATATTAAATATCCTTTGAGCGGTACAAAGTTAACCAACAAATGAACATAAACTCCATTACAGATGTACGCATTACTTGCCTAAATTATGCAGTGTGCTGTCTCCAAAAAGCCTGAATCTCTTAAACCACCCTTTCCGGGGCAAATATTTATACACTTCACCATCCGCCACGGCGATCGGTGGTATCTATTGTCTCGTGCTGACTAAAGGGTGTATTCGCTAAAAATGGCACACCGAAAATCTTCTGTGACTTTTAAGAACCCTATGAGCAAATCTTTTTCATAGTGCATTGTTTAGATCTGTCAAGTTTCATAGTTATTCATACAGTAGTTCCAGTCACGTCGTCGAAACAAGAAATTGTCCGTGAAAAATTTGTGTGCACATACAATCAAAATCCAGAGTCCCACCGATGGATCGCTTAAAAGCTTTGAATTGCAAGTAGAACTGTCAACTGTGAACCTTCAAGGAGCGTTTGAGTGTCCGAAGGAAGGAAGGGAGTGATCGTTAAAGTGGTCCAATGGACAGTAAAATGGACAGTAAAATGGCCAGGAAAGTGGAGCAACAGTTCAAGAACCGTCCAAACATGTCAATTCGAGATGTCGCTAAGAAGTCCATGCTGTCAGTCGGTTTTGTGCAGAAAACCATGAAGCGTGTTAGGATACATGATTAGAAGGTACAAAGAGCCCGAAACCAGAATGAAAAACAAAACATCACTGCGAAAACCCGTACCCGGAAGCTTTACACGAAGTTGCTCACCAAATTGTGTTGCATCGAGATGGATGACGGAATTTACGTCAAGGCCGACTTCCGACAACTTCCTGGGCAAGAATATTTCGTTGCCAAGTTCGGTGTTCCACAGGATGTTTCAAAGAAGAAATTATCGAACTTTGCAAATAACTTCTGATCTGGCAGGCGATTTGCGGATGTAGTGAAATAAGCACTCCATTCATCACTTCTGGAACAATTAACGGAGCGATTTACACGGAAGAGTGCCTTAAGAAGTGTCTCTTGCCATTCAGAAGGAAGCACAAAGGATCAACTCTGTTTTGGCCTGATCTAGCATCCTGCCACTACGCTCGAAACGTTGGAGTGGTACCGAGCCAACGGAGTTAATTTTGTGCCAAAAGATATGATCCCACCAAATTCACCGGAACCTTAACCAATTGCAAAATTCTGGACAATTATGAAGACGGAACATCGCAAACATCACAAAACTATTAAAACAGAGCTGGAGTTGAAGAAAATTTGGGTGAACACAACAAAAACACTGGAAACGGTTGCACAAAATTGGATGGGTGGAGAGAGAAGGAAGGTGTGGGCATACTTACTACTACTCATAGCTCAATAGTAGTTTTTCATTCACTGAAAATTTCAAGAAAATCTGATATTCGGTTTAATTTTGGTGAGTAAATATGTGTGTGCCATTTTTTTCGAACACACCCTTTACTTTCATTCCACTTGCGCCAACCTGGATTTCCATATTTATGCTAACGAAGGGTTGGTGGGGTTTGGGGAGTTGGTGGGATTTCGAGTGCGAGTCGATGGTGGCATAGGTGCCACCGACCGTTTCGAATAAGAATTTGGAACTTAAAAGAGAGGGCTATGGGGTCACGACACAGGCAGCTGCCTACCAAACAGAGACGAGAAAGAAAGAAAGAAATTGGAACACACTCCAGACTAACAAAAGGAGCTCTTTTGCATAAACGAGCAAATCCTTCCAAATCGATAACGATAAAATAAGCCTGCCGCATCTCACCCACCCAGAGGTGGAGATGGTTAAGAAAAATGCCCGAAAAGGTGTTACCACCGAAACGGAAGGACATTTGTCGCCGATGAATGTAAATGGTGCTGTTTAACGGAGCCGGAAAGGTGTCGATGTTTGGGACGTTTCGGTGGGGCTGTTGAATATTTACGTGGCAGTCTTGTGGATGGAATTTAAAAATTGATTGGGAATGTTTGATTGGAACGCTTTGTGTTTGGGTGGTTTTTGCAGTTTACAAATTTATGAATAATTTATTCCGCTTAGCATCACAAAGCGGAAGAAGGATCATAAGGAATTTATAACTACATATATCTGATCAAGTGAAAACTATACTCACCTCTTTCTCGATTTCGATGACGGCATCCGAAACGCATTCGGAAAAATCCGGCATAAGCCATTCCGGACGCCCAAAGTCCCGTTGCTCGCAGATTCTTTTCGCTTGTCCTTCCCCTCGCTTGGGACAATCCGCCAGTACTGCCGGCCCTGATGCACTGGCAGGCCAGTTCACGCCATAGTCGGTATTCTTCGGACATAGTGTAACGGTTCCCTGCTCGACCACAGTTACGTGGACACTTTTCGATATCGGTGCGACCGAGTTCGATACGATACAGGTGTAGACAACGGATTTCTGTGAAGACGAACAAAAAAAAAATAGGAAAGCAAAATTGAATCCATTAGATACACGCCTTTTTCCTGAGCTTCGGTTGTTTCGTGCGATAGCATTTATCTTCATTTACCTGGAGATTTTTCACCTTCAGGATGCTGCCGTCCGGGTAGAGATCTTCCCACAGTTCAGTATTCGAGTCCGACTGGAAGAGGGCACCGTTTTTTGTCCAACTGTACCCGAGTGTGCCGTACTGTTGATCCGAGTCCTGGGACAGACACCGAATGAGCAGTGATTCGCCACGAAAAAGCGTCACACTCGGGGGATCCACCCGGAGCTGGGGGGCGCCGAGGATCTGCACCTTGGTCGAACGACACTGCTGCATTCCCATGTCGTTTACCTGTGAGCATTCAAGCGGAAAGAGAAGGGTGACGGGAAATGGAACAGTGGTAATGAATATAAATGAAAAGAAAATAGAATTTCGTTACGCTGTACAAGATTGTTTCGCAATTATATGTTTTGCTGGTAAATCGCATCAAAGGGTTGAAGTTAAGAATGCCTACTGAAATGTTACGAAACTGAAAGCGAAGAAAATTGCAAATATCAGTGTACTACACCATTTGAAAAAAATGATGTAAATTTCTGAAATCTAGATGAACATTTTAAATTGAAATAGGGGAATGGCTCTAATGTTGGCCTATGGATCTAAGATTGGGCCCATGGCTAAAAATCTGCTATCTATCAATTTTATCTAGATGAACGCGTCATCCGGACGGTACTAATGGATACTTTTGGTCACTATTGAAAATTTAGTCAATGGCTGAATTTATGTATGGGCCCAAATTAGGGGCATTCAGGCCGACATTACATCCATTTTTTTCATGCGTTACTGCTATAAGATCTGCCTCTGAACTTTATTTCTGACAACTTAAAACGTGGGGAACAGGATTTTCCAGTTATCAAAGGAACACAGTTTAGTCCTTGTCATTTTTTATGCCTTGATAATAGTGTCAAGACTCGGAGAAGTACTCACAACCCAAGTAGCATTTCTTGTTTTATTGCACTCTATTAGCGGTTATTGAGACCAATTTCATAAAACCGCCAATAAAATTAATAGCTCCAGCACAACCTTTTGATAACCGCTATAAGATCGTCATACAGCTTAGTGGACCACTCTTGATAAGGTTTATAAAGCATGTTTGAGAATCACAATAAAGCTGTCTTAAAACCTTTGTCAGGAAGCCTCATACTCTACAAAAGGTTCTCATAGCCTCTATAAGAGTAATATTGTATCCAAGCAGTTTTATTACGCTTTGGTGAAAATCAGTTATAAAGCCAATTTAATTTGTATTGGCTTCAAAGCAACCGTCATAAATTAGCTTGTTGTTGTTCTGTTCTGCTGAAACTTTTTTTTTTCCGAATGGAAATCTTTAGCGGTAAAAATAGGGTTGAGTGTTGGTGTCAAGATCACCATGCAATCAATTTTGTTTAATGGCGACATTAGTGAAAATCTTAAAGAAAATATATTACTTTTTAGAAGTTCCAAAACATATGCGCTTGAAATGTTATCGTGTATATTGAGATAATATGAGCGTTAAATAAATGCGCCTCCAAAATAATTCAAGTTAACAAAAAAGATTGTTTCAGAAATCAAATGAATTTGATGGAATCACCTTAATTTTACAGAAAATAGATCTCAATACATAAATTCATACCAATGCACACTGGAAATCATTTCGGATCTCTTATATAGCCATTATTTTATTGAAATTTCTTGGATTTTATTCCAAGGCTAATGGCATTTTCATAATGACAATATGCCGACAGAGGACAGCAGGCAAGAAAAACACCAAGCGCAATTTCTCAAAATGTCTAATGCTTACATTGCACAGTGGGTCAGGAATGCAACCTAGTAGAGCAAAATTAATAACTCCGAAACGAAGCATTTCCGCGACTTGGTGTCTTCGGCAAAATTTCTCGTCATAATAAGGACCATCTATTGACAAAAATAAATAGTTCAAAACTCTTCCGCAAAGATGGTGCCACAATCTAACTTCTTTCTCTGACGTTTTGGAGACTTGATGTCTTGGGCAAAGTTGTTTATCTTGACAAAATGAACAGCTCTTTCAAAGACGTTAAATTTTCACTGTATACTGGTTCCAAGTTATATGGAGTTAAAGAAAAAAATGTCGAAAATTTGGTTTTTTTTTTCAGTTTCGGTTTTTTTGCTTATAGCTTTATAATGTTATATTTTTCATTAAATTAATAGCTTTTGTGAAGAAACATACTGGATTAAGCTTCAAATTTCAAAGACATCGTTGAAAAAACGAGAAAAAAACACAATTTTGACATTTTTAGCAAAAATTAAGCAATACTCGATAAACAAAATATCAAAATTTGAGAGAGGTATATTTAGGTGTTTTTTTTAGATTTCTTCATTTTAGTGGAACATGATTTTTTTCTATAACTTTTTTTAATGCATTAAATTTGTGTTTGGACGACTTCACGACTTTGTCAAAGTTGATTATCTTGATAAAATAAACAACTTTTCTTAATACGTTAAAACTTCACAGCCTACTGTTTTCGAGTTATGTGAAATTACAGAAAAAATGTGAAAATAAGTGTTTTAATTTTAAATATATTGTTTAAATGAATATACCTCGAAAACAGTAGACTGTGAAGTTTTAACGTCTTAAGAAGAGTTGTTTATTTTATCAAGATAAACAATTTTGCCAAGTCGTCAAGTCTTCAAAACGCCATTTCAATGCATTAAAAAAGTTATAGAAAAAAATAATGTTCCATTAAAATGAAGAAATCTACAAAACACCAAAATATACCTCTCTAAAATTTTGATATTTTGTTTATCGAGTATTGCTTAATTTTTGCTGAAAATGTCAGGTTGCGATTTTTTGCGCTTTGGAAGATATTAATGTAATGTAATGTGTTTTTCTTTCTCGTTTTTTCAACAATATCTTTGAAATTTGAAGCTTAATCCAGTATGTTTCTTCACAAAAGCTATTTACATTATAAAGCTGTAAGCAAAAAAACCGAAACAGAAAAAAAACCATATTTTCGACATTTTTTCTTTAACTCCATATAACTTGGAACCAGTAGACTGTGGAAATTTAACGTCTTTGAAAGAGCTGTTCATTTTGTCAAGATAAACAACTTTGCCGAAGACATCAAGTTTCCAAAACGTCAGAGAAAGAAGTTAGATTGTGACACCATATTTGCGGAAGAGTTTTGAACTATTTGTTTATGTCAATAGATGGTCCTTATTATGACGAGAAATTTTGCCGAAGACACCAAGTCGCGGAAATGCTTCGTTTCGGAGTTATTAATTTTGCTCCGCTAGGTTGCATTCCTGGCCCAGTGTGCATGGGATGAAAGCAGAACAGAAAAGCATAATGCATGATTTTATTACGAGAACAATTTTTTTTTACAAGAGCAATTCAAGCTGAACTTTGCATTAGGTCCTAAGTAACATTGATCGATTCTCTCGTCGACTTTCTCTTTCGTTAATAACTTATTCACAGAACCGTTTCTTGATGTGTTTGTCGTATTGGATGCTAGATAAAAGCTTCTTTTATCGATTTATGTGCTGAAAATACCTGGGAATGTCTTTACATGACCGTGGGGATGCAAAGAGAAAGTTGACGAAGCGAATCTGTCAATATTACTTAGGACCTAATGCAATTTTCAGCTTGAATTTATTGTTTTATTTGAGGGCAAATGTATATTCCTATTCTACGGGTGCAACCGATGAATTTTACAAACATTTAGAAAAGTTTTGAATGGTACATTAGCCTTTATGAAAAGTTATGCATGATTTCAACTTATTCGTCCTAAAACTGTCACCATTCCATGTATTTCGACCAAGATTCGACCGTGTCACCCCATGTATATGCGAGCGAGAACAGAAGAATCATGGGGATTGCTGACGTTTTTCTTACGCACACTACGTCGCGTATACGTATACACGAAATGTTTTCATGCTCATGCTAACAATTTTGTTGATTTTCTTTGCGCTCCGCTTGGAAGTACCGGAAAGTTTTTATTCTTTTCTATGTTGTAAAAATAAACCACCTATTTACATTTCTGACAAGTTGCAACTGAATGCTTATAATTGTTTTAAAATAACTGTTTCATGGCCAACTAGTTTTATTGCGCTTACTTATAAAGCAACGAAAGGATTTATTTTTTGGTTTTATAAGGGCAATTCATATTACTTTATTGTATACTTCAAAGCAATCATAAAACCTTTCATAAGTGAAAATAGGATAAGCATCAGTTGGTTTTTCAATTAGCTTTATAGGGGTTTTGTAGATAGCTATAAGAATGTTTCATGACTTGCATTGTATATGACCGTGATAAAGCTGTAGGTAATGGTTGCAGCTGCAATAAAACCTTTATAAATTTTGAATATAGCCAAGCAGCTCTAGATTTGTTACTTGGGAATGCCTGTTGAATTGTGAAATTAATTTAAATTAAATATGAAACTAAAATAAAAATTTCTTGAAAGAACGGATATTTTTGGATAAGCTTCTGGGTAAATCGCTCAGCGCTTATCTGCTATAACGAATGTTCAATAAAAAATGAGAATGATTTCAGTGCCATTCAGCGCTCTTGTGAGAGCATCGCGACTTAGTTGCGTCGTACGGCTTACCAGGGCCCCTTCTCCAATATTAATTGACGTTTTTTTAAAGCATAAACATTATGTTTTTAATAAAAAATACTGAATTCGTTGAAATTTTTTCTTTTTGTTTTTACTAGCTATATGACTGAAAAAAATCTCATATTTTGTTGAACACCCGTTATATTCTTCTTAATGACCTCGCCGGCAAGTTTCGTATCAAAAGAACTTGTGCCTAATCGGATTTTATAAAATGCTATGTACGCGTTCGGGAAGAAAAAGAAAGGTTGTTTCATAATATAAGCTTGCAGATAATTTCGCTGTTTATAATGTATTGTCATTCATAAAGTTCGATGGAGGTTTTCTGGTGGGTTTTGCATTGGGAAGAGTGCCATGCTCCATGTATATATGCTTTTATGTGGTTGTGAATGTATATTTCTTTTTTTCTTATCGAAATTTTCCAAAATTTGTTTAAGGTTGTATTTGGTGAGCTTGTTCCAGTTGGAAATAATTTATTTTGTTTCCTGGCGGGCTAACCTCGATCGCGCGTGATCTATTTTTCAGATTTAGTTAGAACATAAGAAAAGCGATACTGTCGGTAAGGTGTGTTTTCAGAACGTAATTTCATATGAATAGCTTGTTTTGCTAGGCCTTAAACAATCGTCACGTTGGACATATATGGTTATGATAGCATGAACAATGTGTAAAGAGCAAATCGAAACATTGAACGTTACGTGAAAATGGAACTTCATGAAGGCCTGAGTGAT